AAGTCCGGTTTGGCCGCCACGGGTGTCAGGCTTGTGCGGCTCCGTCCTGGCTTCGCGGCACCCACTGTTGACGATCCTCCTCCTGCCTCTGAGCCAGACTACAGCAGGTCCAGTGACCCCAACCGCCCTCCGGAGCTCTACCTCCCTTCTCGCCTGGCAAAGACCCAAGTCGCCATCTTCCCCGCCATCCAACGCTACATGAACCTGGAAACCTTCAGACGTGAGCCGGTCAAGAAGAACCCGTCCTTCTCCCGGTCCTTCTCCTTCCACACCAACGACATCATGGCCTCCATCGAGAGCCACCCCACTTACGAGTATTACTTTGATAAACTCATCCCCCGCAACCCCCCTAAGAAGGAAGACTCTTCCGACGAGGGCTACACCTTCCCCACCCGCCGTCGCAAGCATCTTGTCAACCCCTTCGACCGCCAAGAAGACGCCCAAGCCATCCACACGATCGCCAAAGGCAACGCAATCTACTACTCGGGCGTAGCCGACGAGTCTCACCTCTCCGCCCTCCGGCGCAATGCCAACGACCCTTCTGTCGGTCCAGAAAAGTATTACATCGGCTACCCCGGTTACTTGCCGGAGCACGTTCCTACCTTGAGGGAATGGACCAATCTCCCTCTTACCTCTCGCCACAGCCACAGCCGGCACTCCCTCAACAACCTAACCTCATCCTCTCGTACATCTTCTCCCTTCTTCTCCTACTTCGTTCCCTCCAACAAAATCCTCATCCTCACCCGCCGTCTCCTTTTCACCACGCTCATCTACTCCCTCCTCCGCTTTTGGCTAGTTCCCCTCCTCCTTCCTTCGTTCCTCCCCTTCTTCCTCGCTTTGGAATCTACGGCGCTGCACGTCTTCAACCAGGCCAAAGACGGCCTTACCACTTTGCTCACTCCCCTCGTTGATGCCGTCCGTCCTCTTCTAGGTCATCTTCTTCACACATTAACTATCCTCCGAAACCTAGCGTTGGCTGTTCTCAAACCAGTCCTCGCTCCCGTGGGGGACTTGGTTAAGAAACTGGTGCTCCCGCCTTTGGCTTCTGCGTTAAGGGCTGTGGGATATGTCTATAGCCAGCTTGTTGAGAGGGGACCGGTGGGATGGGTTTGGACGAGGTTGAAGGGGGCGGTTGGTTGGTGGGGAGATTGGGTGAAGTTGGTGGATGAGGCGGTGAGAGGCGGGTTGGCGAGGGTTGATGCTTGGTTGGGTGGTGCTACTGGTGCTACAGTTTTACCTGAGGCGTGGCGAAGGAGCGGAGCAGGAGGAAGAGGAAGTGAAGGAGGGAGTTTAACGACAACGGTGACAACGGCGACAACGGCGACAACGGTGACAACGACAATGACGGGGGCGGCGGCGGCTGGTGGTCATGGTGGTGGTGGTGGTGGTGGTGGCAACTGGAACCCTTTTGCTAGGAGGATTGAGTCTGGTTTGAAGACTGAGAAGACTACTTACACTGTGACTACTAACGGTGGAGGAGAAGTGTTCACTGTCACGGAGAAACGCACTGCTGGTGGTGGTGGTGGTCTGACGTCTGGGAGGAGGACTTCCACCGTTTCCACTGTTACTACTGGCGATGGAACTTTCACCCTTGCCGGCGCGGCACCGCCTCCTCCTCTTACGCCTTGAAGCAGTTTAACCGTGGATAAGTATTGGAAAATTGGATAAGTTGTCCGTTCGTTGATTTTGTTTAGGATGATGGCTTTTTAAAGGCGTTAGGTCAACTTGGAGACTTGGATGGAGATGTAAAGTAGCTAGCTTAATTTTGACAAACTCTTCCTATATGTAATCGTCGCAAGTCAGTCGTCTTGACCCGCAATCATGTCATCGTGTGAGTTTGGGTTGTAAGAGATCAATACCTCCAGTAAAAAGCTCGCTAACTTTCAAGGCAAACTATGAGCGGTGCCCAGGACGGCTGTTCACAGCCAGAGGTAACAAGCCGGAGTTTCCTGTTCCGAGCCTTGACGTTAACGTTAGTCAACAAAGACGCATGTCCATTTCCGGCCGAATGTAGAGGACCGATGCTTTTATTCCTCACTAAGCTCCTATCAATATCCCATATCCCGCGACGACTGTGACCCATGCCCGCCGCAAAAGCCCAACATACCATACACATGCTCTCTCAGGAACCCGATGGAAATAGTGCGGCAACCCCATCTCGTCCTGAGTGTAAACCATTCTCTAATTCCGTGACAGCCCACGCTCAGATCTATGCACATATCTGCGAGTGGGAGGCCACTTGGTATAAAACCGACTTAAAGGCTGCCTTAACTTCCAAAGTCAAATAACGCCATGATAAGGACCTCAATAGAGCTGCTGAATGAAATGTTAAAAGGATTTTTGGAAACCGACGCCACGGCTAGATTCCCCCCTTCCAGACTCCCGTATTCCTCCACCAAGTAAATGAAGCGGGTAGCTTTTTCGTCAACGAGATATCTCATATTTCCATGCGTTGTCGTCTGCGTGTATGCCGCCGCCGAGACCGCATGTCGTCCTTCTTTTCGAACGTCGTAGATATTATAAGCGGCCCGTTGTATGCATGAGAACGAAGCTGCCTGCTAAAGCCGGGCTGGGCTTTAGCTTGTCAATGACATGGCCAAAACGAGAGACCGCATTTAGACGGTCATCTTGGCACGAGCGCGAGAGCTGCCGCTGTGAGCGGATTCCGTGTGGCCGGAGAACTCGAGAGCCTCGTTGGGCGGAAGCTGGAGGACCTCCTTGAAGCGGCGGCCGATAGCCATCAGGATCTCCTTGCCCTTCTCAGGGGATCTGCCCTTGCCGCCAGAAATATCTCCGTCGCCGCGGCCGGGAATGTGCTTGCCGATAGTGCGGGTCCAGACACCAACACGGAAGAAGGCCTTGCGGACGTTGACGACAACGCCCATGACCTCACCGTCCTCCTCGTCCTCGAGAGTCTCGCCGATCGCAGCTAGCATAGTATGCAGCCAGATCTCATCAATGTTGACATTGCGCTTCTCCTTGAACTGGTAAGACCACTTGCCACCGTGCTTGTTCTGGGGATCCTCCCACTCAGGGCGCACGCCCTCCTTGAAGAGATGGTAATCGGACTTGAGAGCGAGCTCTGATACCGGGGCGATGTTGTTCTGCGCGCGTTTTGGTCAGTATGCATGGTGCGCAAAGCGTGGGGTGGGAGAGCGCTCATAGACATACATATACACCCCAGAACTCCTCGACCGTCTCAAAGGTGATAACCTCCTTCAGAAGATCATTCCAGTTGTCGCCCTGGTCGCGATGATGTTAGCTGACTGCATCGTATGGTGGGGCAGGTAGTAGGCGAAGGGAGGGGGGGGAGGGGGGAACCAACCTTTCCGCTTGAGGGCTTGGTGAACCAAAGGGTCCAGCGGTTGGAGAGAGGGTGCTTGACATTGAAGTGCTCCTTGTCGTGGAAGACGGTGACGGTCTTGTCGTCCTTGGCGGCGGCGGCATCGCCGTTGGTGTTGCCGCCCTCAGGGCTGATAGGGATGGTGGTGAGATCGACTTGCTCGGACATGGTGGCGGTTGTGATGTTGCGATGGGGGTTTGGAAAGTGGATGTTGATCAAAGTGTGTCGTTCCGACCGACAAAGGGCGACGAGAACGGAGTCGAAGCTAACAAGGACTGAGCTTGGACAGACGGGCCCACAAAAAAAGCAGTTTATGCCCAAGAAAGTGATCTAAGCGTGCGCGGCGTGTGGAAGCGCGAATCGATTGGGGACTGCGGGCGAGGGGGGGCTCCAACTTGGGGGATCCACGATACGATTCGGTCAGATGTTTTGGATTATGTATGTGGTCTGTTTTTGCCTGGGGGATGACTGCTCTTCCGAGGAAAAGTGGAAGTTCAGGATGCTTGGTTGTTGAGAAAAGAGTTGAGATGTTGAGAGGGAGAAAGAAGAAGACGTGGAACAAGTTGAAGTTTGTCACGACAAAAAAAAAAGAGGAAATTCAGTGTCTAGACGCATGGTCCAAGCACTCAGGATCTAGACGGCAGGTGCGACTTGCGACTTGAAGGTGAAATTATCTGAGACTTGTTGCTCCAGGCAAGCAACTCGGTTGCTCTTTCAAACACTGAGGCGGTAGTGCAGATAGAGTGGTAAAATACCTTGGGTACCTATTCTCTACACAGAGTTATAATAGTCCCAGGAGAGTACAATGGTTGACAGCTGAGACTTGGATGATAATAGAGTGGATTTTGTGTCGGTGGCACAAATCTACGAATTCTTGGGATTGGCAGTTGCCCATGGAGGCCAACTGACAAATTCAGTGTAGCCGCAATCACAAGCAGCGAGATGCAGACAACGCCCGGCCAACACTTGATGTTACGGCGATGCATCCTGCAGCAATCATTCGCGTAACGATTGGTAACAGAAGTGTTTCTTTCCAAACCATCGCCGCTTCCAGACTCCCAGAGTCCTCGGCAGTCAAACTTGCACAGACTCACAATGGCCACCCGACTTTCACTTCTATCCGAGTCGTTCAGTCTCATCATCCAGTTGCCCTGTCATGTCAGCGAGTCAACAATCCAATGAAACGAATCCCGTCTCTCCTGCAACTGCCTACAGACCCCTCCCCCTCCTCCACTTCGAAAAGTTGCCCTTGCCCACCCTGCACTGCAGTCCTTGCTAGCGCCCCCAGAAGAGACCGGAGGCGCTCAAGGTGAAAAAAAGTTCCCAGGGACAAGACCCCTCAACGCCCCTCCCACACCCCCATGTCGGTCAAACCCAGCCAGTCGTAGGCTCGGATCGAAGGAGACTGGGACCAGATATCACGGGTAGTATCACGTGTAAAGCTTAGATAAGATAGTGGCCATACCCAACCATGCCCGATCCAGGCTAGACAGTGGGGAAAACCGGGGCGGTTGGCCATGCAGCAGAAAAAAGTTGCGGCGCAGTTGAAAATTTCAAAATTGAAAGTCGCCCGGCCTGCCCTGCCCCACGCAGCCCACTCTTTCAGCGACTGGACCGGCTCAGGCCTTTTAAAACCCTTCAACTTCCTCCTCGTCCCCTTCGTTGTTGCCAGCTTCAGCTCAGTCTCGACATTCCCTTTCCAGACAACACTATCTTCATCATGGCGGACGAAGTTTACGATGGTGCCATTGGCATCGATCTTGGTATGTTTTAACCTTTTTATAAGACCCGCCGTGCGCAATATCATGCTATTGTCGCCATTGTTGCGACCTGTTTGCGCCCGAGTTTTTGTTTTTGTGCGTTTTTGGGCATCACCAAGGGCAACGGCGCACTCGGTCAAGACTCATGCATATGTGAACACGATGCTAACCTCGATCCTTCTGTATAGGTACTACCTACTCTTGCGTTGCCATCTACGAGGGTACCAATGTCGAGATCATTGCCAACGAGCAGGGTAGCTTCACCACTCCCTCTTTCGTCTCCTTCACTCCCGAGGAGCGTTTGATCGGTGAGGCCGCCAAGAACCAGGCCGCCATGAACCCGAAGAACACCGTCTTCGATGTCAAGTACGCTCTATCCAGTATCTCAGTCTCCGAAGAAGCAGCCTCACTAACGCGCCTCCAGGCGTCTTATCGGTCGCCGCATCGATGACCCCACTGTCAAGAAGGACCAGGAGTCTTGGCCCTTCAAGGTTGTCGACGATGGTGCCGGCAACCCCAAGGTTGAGGTTGACTACCTCAACGGTGTCCACACCTTCTCCCCCCAGGAGATCTCCGCCATGGTCCTCACCAAGGTAAGCCACCGCCACATCCGAGCTTCCGGGTCTGCACGCATAAGAACCGCACTCTAACATGTGCTCCCACAACACAGATGAAGGAGATTGCCGAGGTCAAACTTGGCAAGAAGGTTGAGAAGGCTGTCATCACTGTCCCCGCCTACTTCAACGACAACCAGCGTCAGGCTACCAAGGATGCTGGTGCCATTGCCGGCCTCAACGTCCTCCGTATCATCAACGAGCCCACCGCTGCCGCCATTGCCTACGGTCTCGGTGCCAACAAGTCCAACAAGGAGCGCAACGTCCTCATCTACGATCTCGGTGGTGGTACTTTCGATGTCTCCCTCCTCAACATCCAGGGTGGTGTCTTCACCGTCAAGGCCACCGCTGGTGACACCCATCTTGGTGGTCAGGACTTCGACACCAACCTTCTCGACTACTGCAAAAAAGAGTTCACCCGTAAGACTAAAAAGGTATAAAGAATTCCCGCTGCTTCCATACGACCTTTCTGTTGTCCTCAGAATTTGGCGATTTTTCAGGAATTTTTTTCGAATCACCGGCGCTGACATAGTCGATTTCAGGATCTTTCCGGCGATGCCCGCGCTCTCCGCCGTCTCCGTACTGCTTGCGAGCGTGCCAAGCGTACCCTCTCTTCCGGTGCTCAGACCACCATTGAGATCGACTCCCTCTTCGATGGTGAGGACTTCAACATCAACGTCACTCGTGCCCGTTTCGAGGACTTGAACGCCAAGGCCTTCTCTGGTACCCTCGAGCCTGTTGCCCAGGTCCTCAAGGATGCCAGCATTGAGAAGTCCGCCGTTGACGAGATTGTCCTCGTCGGTGGTTCTACCCGTATCCCCAAGGTCCAGAAGCTCCTCAGCGAGTTCTTCGACGGCAAGAAGCTCGAGAAGTCCATCAACCCCGATGAGGCCGTCGCCTACGGTGCCGCCGTCCAGGCCGGTATCCTCTCCGGCAAGGCCACCTCCGCCGAGACCTCCGACCTCCTCCTCCTCGATGTCGTTCCCCTCTCCCTCGGTGTCGCCATGGAGGGCAACATCTTTGCCCCCGTCGTCCCCCGTGGCCAGACTGTGCCCACCATCAAGAAGCGCACCTTCACCACTGTTGCCGACAACCAGCAGACCGTTCAGTTCCCCGTTTACCAGGGTGAGCGTGTCAACTGCGAGGACAACACCTCTCTCGGCGAGTTCACTCTTGCTCCTATCCCTCCCATGAAGGCTGGTGAGCCCGTCCTCGAGGTCGTCTTCGAGGTCGACGTCAACGGTATCCTCAAGGTCACCGCCACTGAGAAGACCTCTGGCCGCTCTGCCAACATCACCATCTCCAACTCCGTTGGCAAGCTCTCTTCCTCTGAGATCGAGAAGATGGTTGAGGAGGCTGAGAAGTTCAAGAGCAACGACGAGGCCTTCTCCAAGCGCTTCGAGGCCAAGCAGCAGCTCGAGTCCTACATCTCCCGCGTTGAGGAGATCGTCTCCGACCCCACTCTCTCCCTCAAGCTCAAGCGCGGCCAGAAGGAGAAGATTGAGCAGTCCCTCTCCGAGGCTATGAGCCAGCTCGAGATTGAGGACTCCTCCGCCGAGGACCTCAAGAAGAAGGAGCTTGCCCTCAAGCGCCTCGTCACCAAGGCCATGTCTTCCCGCTAAATTACCTTTTAGCTTAACGAAGTGTATGATGCTCGCCTTCCATCTACCAATGGGCGCGATACTTGGGAATAGGAACAGGAACTTTAATTGAAGGCAGGGTCTTGTCTTGTATCGGCACGACGTCTTCATATACCTCGTTCATTGGGACCGGATACTCAAAAGTTGGGGGGGCCATGTGTATTTGATCTGCATTCTACGGCATCAGTCGCAGCCCCAGGCAGGGAATGGTTGTTTCCAAGAACGAATGACATACCGGATGGATTTCTTTTCCTTGCCTTTTAGCGCCATTGATCTCTTTATTTATGACCCAAAATCTCTTCGGCGCAACTGCATGTAGACTGGGGAAGGTGCAAAAACAATACAAACGATGAACAAAACTTTTACATTGTCTCCCTTTCGATGCAAAAAGTGACTGTCTTGTTTGTGATTCTTAACTTGTGTTGTCGGATGTGTCGTCCATTTTACAAGGTATCATAACATGTTGTTTAGCTATGTTGGTGTTAACGCTTATGCCTCTATGATTCATTTGAGGCATCGCTGTATAGTATAAAGACCTGTTGATACAATGACCAGTGCATAATATTTTGTACTGAACGCGTTGCCTAGTGCGATTTACGGGTCTTTTTACTTGGGTTATGGCCGAGACAATGTTGCCAATGCGTGTGAAGTATCCTCTTATGGCTGTAACTCATTAACATGTGCCCATGTGCATTAAGCCGATGCCTCCTTTAGCAGACAATAGCGATAGACCAGTTCTTGGCAATGGCTGTTACCAATCTTGATGTGCATCTTGAATTTGTGTTGTTGTGTTGTTGTCGACGGACTTTGCATGTGGTCTTGGCTTTTGGATCCCAACCTGGACGGTTGCCAAGATGGGTGGCATTCTCGACTTCACATAACTAACTCATCTTTTATATTTGATCGGAGTCATTGTAATGCTCAAGGTGGTTTGGGAGACTCTCAACAAGTATATTTCTGAGGAATCATCACTTCCCCCCCTGAAGGAGCATTATTCTAGGCTTGGGAGGCAGGGAAAAGATCACAGTACCTGGATTACAAGCTCATCTGGTCTTTACCTTTCATCAATAATTTCTCTTGTGTCTTTATGAAGCCATCCAATAACGTGGATTCGAGGATGAAGTTGTTATATGGCCGGACGTCGCCCAGAACAGCAAAACGGAAGTGAACATCTTTCTCAAGAGTTAAAGGAGCAACATGATTGGCCACACCCGGACAGTGCCGCATCGCATCGTCAGGTCAGTCGAGAAAAAGGTCGTTCGGTCAGCAATTTGACATCTGCTGATTTTCCCGATCTCCATCTGGACACCTTTCCAGAATTTGACCTTTGGGGCATCTAATTCGTACCAATGGATCGCTCTTTCGTCCGGAGTGAAACAAACAGAATGCTTCGCCTCCTTTGTATGGAGGCCCAGGTTCGGGATGATTATTAAGACAAAGTCCGGCACGAGAAATCAGACATAACAGCCGGTAGTGGACAGATCATTCGAAAACATATCTCCGCCTATATGTCCCCTAGTCTCCCACATGTCCATTTCTTTCAGAGTATCTGTCTCTGTTGTTTCCCTACCTTATTTAGCCCGCTATTGACTGCACTTTCTTCACCCGGACCCCTGTCAGTGCGCTGTCCGTGTGTGTTTATCGAATCTTCGATAAGAATTCTTTCCCTTCGGCAGCGTGTCACAGAAGACAGGTAACCCCTGCAGAGAGCGACGTCACAGTCTAGACACGTTGAACTCGCCCCTAAAAGTGTACCTCGAGAATCGCTCAAGAAGCACCACGGATTACCAGGTAGAGGTACCTTTCATCTCTACACGGGCATTGCTATACGTCGAAAACATCGGATTATCTGAGAACAGCTACGGTCTGGCCACCGTTGCCCCGAAACCCTTGGAACATCAAGGTCCACGTATAATTAGCTAGAGTGGCCTCTCTCAAGCTGCCGCTTGCGCCTGGAGGAGACAAGTTCCGGACAAGCAACAACAGCCGCTCACCATGAAGCCCGCATCGCGGCTTTTCTACTTGTCGCTCTTTGCGCTCTGGAGTCCCGAAGCGCAGTGTAAGAGCGATGAATCATGCGCTGTAAGTCAAATGTACCATGCGCTAGGAAGCTGTCCGAAGCTAACAGGCGATTCTCCTCCTAGATATCACCAAAAGCCATCGTCAGTGATGCATGCGCCTCCTATTCCACCCTCGAACAGCTCAACCGCGATATCAAGCCCGCCCTCGAGGACCTAACACGGACGACCGATTTCTTCTCACATTACCGCCTGAACCTCTTCAACAAGGAATGTCCCTTCTGGAACGACGAGAACGGCATGTGCGGGAACATCGCCTGCGCCGTGGAGACCCTCGACAACGAAGAAGACATACCCGAAGTATGGCGTGCCAAAGAGCTCGGCAAGCTCGAAGGACCCCGGGCTAAGCACCCGGGAAAGTCCGTCCAGAAAGAAGAACCAAAGCGTCCGCTCCAGGGCAAGCTAGGCGAGGACGTAGGCGAGTCCTGCGTGGTGGAATACGACGACGAATGCGACGACCGCGACTACTGCGTACCGGACGACGAGGGCGTATCCTCCAAGGGCGATTACGTTTCTCTCCTGCGCAACCCTGAGCGCTTCACCGGGTATGCCGGCGACGGCGCCAAGCAGGTCTGGGACGCCATCTACCGCGAGAACTGCTTCCAGAAATCCTCCTTCCCCAAGTCCGCATCGCTGGGCGACACCTACTCAGTCCCCAAGAACCCCGCGGCCCAAGATTTCCGCGCTGTCATGCAAGCTGCCGGTCGGCAGCATATACTCGAGCAGCAGCGCGAGCAGAACCCGCTGGTCCCCTTCGTCACCAAGACCGGTCTCGAGAGCGAAGACGAGTGTCTCGAGAAGCGCGTCTTCTACAAGATCGTCAGCGGCATGCATGCGTCCATCTCGACGCACCTCTGCTGGGACTTTTTGAATCAGACCACCGGCCAGTGGCAGCCCAACTTGTCCTGCTACATCAACCGCCTGCACAAGTTCCCTGAACGCATCAGCAACCTGTACTTTAACTACGCCCTGCTCACCCGCGCCGTCGCCAAACTCGGGCCTTACCTCTCTTCCCACGAGGAGTACACCTTTTGCACGGGCGACCCGGCCCAAGACGCCGACACACGCGCCAAGGTCCTCGCTGTCACCTCTAAGGCCGCTAACACCGTGCCTGGCCCTGTGTTTGACGAGTCGATCATGTTCAAGAACGGCGAGGGCCCTTCGCTGAAGGAAGACTTCCGCAACCGCTTCCGCAATATCTCGAGGCTGATGGACTGCGTCGGCTGCGACAAGTGTCGATTGTGGGGCAAGTTGCAGACGGCCGGGTACGGAACTGCGCTCAAGGTTCTCTTTGAATTCGCTAACAACGACACCTCCGCGACAACTTCCAAGACTGATGAGATCCCGTTCAAGCTTAAGCGCACCGAGCTGGTGGCACTGTTCAATACTTATGCTCGGTTGAGCAGCAGTTTGGACGCTATTCAGAAGTTTAGGGCGATGGTTGAGGAGAGCGAGGAGGGACAACAATCTCAATCCCACGAACAGATCGAAGGATCCGAGAATTCGGGAGCCCATCACATCCCTGACCGAGCCAAGAAGCCGAGACATGTTATCGTTTCGACGCCCGTTGCCGCTGATGACGCTGAAGCGTCCGTCACAAATACTGCCACAACCGCTGTAGACGAGGCCAAAGCGGCGGGGGTTACTCCTGCTCCAAAGGTTGAGCATCAGCAACAGGTTGACAACAACAACAACAACAACAACAACGATGATGATGATGAGTTCCACGAGTTCCAGCGACAACCGCAACAGCCCGACACCGACCCCAACTTTGTCTACAAGAAGAGAACCCTCAAGGATGACTTCGAAAACGAGTTCAGGGCGGTACTTGCGGCATTCAAGCTGGTGATCAAGAGCTATTTCAATTTGCCTGCATTGATGTGAGTTGTTTTACCCCTCTGTTTCCAAATTCCGCTCCCCTCTGGTCGTTTGTCGCTCCTTGGTGCTGTTCACTTTGCTAACGAATTGTTCAATCACAAAACAGCTACGAAATTACCATTACCGAACTTAAACGCTTCTGGCAGTTTTACGTCGGTTTGCCCGTCATGCCACGGACTTGGGAGTTCAGGAGACCTAGTCTTGATGAGCTTTGATACAAGGTTTTTCTTTTCAGCTTTGATATCGAGCAGAGTAATAGACTATGGGGTAGAGAGACGGAGCCTTTTTCTTCTTTCTTGTTTATTTTATAATAAAAGCCAGGCTTTATTATTTTCTCATTCGTTGGAGTCACACTACTTATCATGACAAATGTTGATGGTATCAAAAAATGATGATACTGTCATGTTATACCACTCGCTTGGCGTTTTCCTTTGGCTGTCGGTCTCATGGTCAATACACACATAGGTCCATGTACTTCCACACCCTTGTTAAGTAAATATCAATAAATCACTTTTCGTGTGTACTTTTTGTATGACTCTTTCAAGTTCGCGCACCTTGGTGGGCATCTTTTTTTACTTGGTTTTTTTTTTTTTTCCTTTTTTCTTTTTTTCTTTTCACTTTGCATGTTTCACCCCCGTCCCCAAGTTTCTCCGTCCGATTAGATACTAGGTGACCTATAGCTCCCAGTTTGAATTATCCATGTCCATAAAACAACTTCAGTTGCATGTGATGTCGAATTTGATTACATGCATCAACCACTCATCCTGCTGCTTTTTCTCCGCCGAATATGATGTCCTTGTTTCAAAGCTTGGACAAAGTGTTTGATGCAGGCTGGCTGTAGAGACTCTCCAAAAAAAAAAAAAAAAAAAAAAAAAAAAAAAAAAAAGGGAAAAGGAAAAAAAAAGGGGGGGGGGGGAAAAAAAAAAAAGGGGGACCCAAAGAGAAAACCAAAGAAACTGGAGAGAAAATGCTTCCCCCCCTTTGAGCACCGGGGAGGGGATAAAACCCGGGGCGATAAGCCAAAATACCGTCGAAAAACCCC